TTGTTGATTCTCGAAGGGCCTACTCGCTCTTTGTCCGAGTCAGGTGGTGTTGGGTGAGTGATACCTTTACTTAAAGCGACCACAAAGCCAAATGTTTAAGATTCTCCCTGCAGGTAACCTGCTAAAGTGTGAAGGGTGGATCGGCTCTAAAAGTGGATAAAATCCCGAACCCCACTATTAAATCGGCATTGATGCATATTTTGATACCTACTTTCGTGTTTACAAAGCGTGACACAGTGAAGAATTTTTCTTGTTTTGTTAAAACCGGAAAAGGCTTGTCCTGGTGCTAAAACTAGGCAAGTCTTCCACGGAGCTATCACCGTACCACCCGCTGAGCATTCAGGACGTTGCGAACAAGATTCTAGAAAGAATAATAGTGGGCCGCCTGGAAGTCTGCAACGAGGGCCTTGCAAGACTCGTTTGGATTCCTTACAAGATTGTCAACACTTAATGCCACCCAAAGAGTTCTAAACACCGTTGGAATGGCCATTAAAAGATGGCACTGCATCTTAGTCGCCTTGTCCAATAAACTCTTGACCATAAAATTGAAGTTACAAATTATTATTACAAGGATTACTAGTTGAAACGCAGCGATGAATGTGTAAAAACACGAGATTCTGTGCCACTCGGGGTACTACGCCCCCAAGCAGCTGCCACTCGCGTCGAATAGTGGATATTTTACATTATTAATTATTATAGAAAGCTGAGGAAATTTCCCATTGACAAAGTATGTCACATATTTTTTAAATAGGTTCAGGGTTTTCTGGCGATTTAGAAATTAAGCAATTTCGACTAAAAATGCCACACAGCCACCGCGTTAGGACACTTGACATGAAATACCTCATCTCAGATGATTTTGGGATAAAATGTCTCATGTACGGATATATATATAGTGTCACGGTATTCACATGACAATAGTAAATTTAATTTAGTGTACAAAAATGTAAACCAAATTATTTTCAAGTCTATCACAGACCTTATCACAATTGAAGGAAAAATGCAATGAGGTAACTATTACAGATTATTTGTAAAATAGTAGAGGCACGATCATGGTTTAAATAAAAATTCCGATGAAATAAAATAATTACGTTTAAAATTGACTTTGTGGTACTGACATTAAAAATTACCCATTCATTTAAAATATATGCGCTGTTAGAGAAATTAAATATGGTAATACATTTACATGATTCCAGGATTTTATACTTCGACGAGGGACTATATAAAAGAAAAATTGATCGAACCAATAAGAGAAATAAAAAGCAATTGGAATAGGTTAACAAAACTAGCAGAAAACCATCATCTTTTCATTGTTTCATTTCTCGTCTCGATGGCAATTGTCGTTACATAACCGTCAAGCACTCGTGAAAGACTACGAATATGTATACAGGGATGGAGGTAGGAAAAAGGAGAAAAATTTTCAAACAAAAACAAATTGTGCTTGGTTGAAAAAAAAATTTTTTTCGCATAGGCGAATTTAATAATTGATGAGGTAAAACTCATCGTTAGTTTAAACGTCAAAGACAGAGAGTGGCGGTTATTATTGTTTTTCCTTTTAACAGCACCTCCGTCTCCGTACGCGCCTTACTAAAAGCTGCGCGTGTACTGTAGCACTCCGTCATGTCTAGCCGCGAAAAAGAAATTTCTGTGGCAAGCAAAACTTTCTCGGATGCGCGCAGTACTCGTTGGCTTTTTATCGACATTTCGATTTCCTCGATAAATTACCTTTCACCTTTCGTCGCATACTTTTAAACTATATGCCAATGTACACATACATATAGGTATGTGAATGAGTGCGTAGGTGCAAAAAAGTCAACGATTGCGATCAGATTGTGAAGCCCTCATTTTCAAAGTTTTATCAACTTTGGTGTCTTGTGCCTCATATATTTGCAAACACTCATGATTTTATTGTATTATTCAATCGTCTGTGCCGATTTTTTATTATAGGAAATTTTTATGACGAATAAATTTACTCGTAACTTTGCATCTGGAGTCGTGATCAATTGTATCTTAAATATATTTCTCTTGATGGATGATTGATCGAATCCTTATATTCAAGTATCTTATCTAATTTAACATTAAATTTTTATAATTATATTGTTTACTTCTAATGTGAACTAGGAAATGAAATGCAATCATTAAGGGGTTACATAGCATTGTGTGACGGAAATAATTTTTTTGTCGTTGAAAAATTATATTTTAAAAACCGAAACTTTCAATCACAAACCAAGAGTATAAATCTCAATTTTGTACCTTTACGCGTCCGAAATATTCATTTATTCTTTATGATCAATTCGGTAGTGTGACGCTGTACCCTTAAATTGATACCTGCACAGACGAAGCCTAAATGAAGGATCATTTTTATTTAAACCGCGATTGTTGGAAACTTTGATACGTATTCTCCTAGAAAACTCGCGAAAAATTATTTTGAATAAAAAATGTTCCTTCATTTAGGCTTCGCCTGAGCAAGTATCAATTTAAGGATACAGTGTTGCACTACCGAATTGATCATAAAGAATAAATTAATATTTCGAATACGTAAAGGTAAAAAATTGAAATAAGAACTAAGCTTACGGTGGAAGAAGGGCAGGTTCCAATAGATGGTGACTGATTAATTAAAGTTAGAGAAAAATAACATCTTTCGATTTCTTGTACACCAAATAACGATTATGTCGACAAGAGTTTCAGTAGCTCAGATGGTAGGGCACTCGCCGGGTCGACTCCGGCCTGAGCCCATATTGTTCGTTCGGTGTAAAATAATTAAATAATAAATATTACGATTGAATATGGAAATCATCGTTTAGGATTATGGAAATCTCCTATTCAATTAGGTATAATAAAAATAATTTTTCGCGAGTTTTTCAGGAGAATACCTATCAAAGTTTCCAACAATCGCGGTTTAGATAAAAAATGATTCTTCATTTAGGCTTCGCCTGTGCAGGTGTCAATTTAAGGGTACAGCGTCACACTATTGAATTGATTATAAAGAATAAATTCAAGAGTATAAACTTTGAGAAATATGTCGAATTTTTCGTTTCTGATGATCCTGTCAAGAAATATTCTGCCTACCGTAGGACAATAGGATGACCGTGGAATACTAATGGATGATCCACAATTTTCAAAATTTTTATCTGAATTTTTTTACAGCTACTCTAATGGATAAACTTCATTGAGTAAAAATTTCAAATTGATTGAACTTTTGATTTTTAAAATATAATTTTTCAACTAAACAAATTGATTTCCGTCACATAAAGCTATGTAACCCCTTAACAGAGTTCTTCAAACGAATATCGTATCCTAGTATCAACATTTTTTGAGTATCTGATTTTACTTTCCACATATAACAGAAGTTTCAAGTTTACAAAATGTTGATTAATTCAAGGCATATACCAAGACAAATCTGTACGTATAAGTAAGACAACTAAGATGACGGCGAATGAAAAGTAGTTCTCACTTCCCAAAGGCGCAAAAGCACTTGAGCCGAACAACAGTGAGCACAATATATCAAATACACCTACGTATAGGCTCACGTGCACGCACATTTAGCTATTCATACAAGAGCAGAGGCAAAACTTAAAAGTCGTTAGAAATTTTGCAAATAACTCGATCTTATGCGTGCAGCAGTGCCAGATGCACAGATTCAGTACCGCGTATACTACTTGCTTCGCCTCCGCATGCGGCATGAGTCGCGCGACAGCCGCTATGCTGTGCTCTTTATACGAGGCAAACGCGCATAATTTAACCCATGAAAATATGATTCTAGTAGTGAGACGAGGGTAACATGTGTGTCTACGTATGTGGGTTATATATTCCTATTAAGCTTCCTTTTTCATTGTTTCGCGGTGCGCACCCAAGTACGGCTATAAACGAAACGACATCTATAGCTTTCAGTTTTTTATTGCTCCGCCAAGTCGATTCAACAAGTTTTTTTCTTTCCACACGAGTGTTTTTATATGCACGTACGTATATATAAGAGAAGCCGTACACTGCTGGACGCGTGCGGGGAGCGTCGGAAATGCGATACCGCATGATGTACGTATGTATATTCGAGCGACCGACCTATGCGTTATGAACTTCTCTTATTCTCTGTTCTCGGGTGTCTTTATGCGTTTCTGCTTACGCCAAAGACCCGATCGTGCCATTTTACTCTTTGTGCGTTCGAGCTTATAGATGTGGCGTAGAAATTGCCCTAGATACATGGCATTATCTGAAAAAGACATTTAATTTTTGTTTGCTCCCCACATTAGTTTCCATGTTCTACCCGATAGAAATAAATTTCACATTTCCACATTTTTTTACAATTATCTAATTTTAATGATTTATTCATATATTTAAACGATTAGAATGACTTAGTTGTTACAATTTTGATGAGCCCTTGGAGTTACTGACAGTTATACGCAAAATACACAGAAATTGAAAAAAATCCAAACAATGAAAAGAAAAACGTGAGCAGCAGTTCCATCGTTTGTCAGTTAACGTATATTATATAGTTTTCGAAACCATGGAAAAGTTGAAAAATTTCGGGGTGGCTTCTGCTGTTTCATTACGTATTCGACATGAATGAAATCTTAAATGTAAATTGGTCTCTTGCTTTATTAAGTCCACATCTGCTACAATTCTTGCCGAGATCTCACTCTCTTTCTCTCTATTTCTCTCTCTTTCTTTCTATTTCGTGATGGGTTTTACAAGAAGACAAGAAAATTATGCCGAACGAGAAAAGAAAAAAGGAGTAAGAAAAAAGTCAACGAAACAGAGCTTTAATCGTCTCAAATGTATATTCCTTGCAAATAAAATCACAGAAACGACCTTGCAAACAAAAATACTCAGAAAATTAAAAAAAAATAAAAATATACTCTTATTAGTATTTTTTGAAGTTACTCTCAATTAGTTGGTTACTTTCTTGAATTATATCAATGCCTTTTTTAGTTAGTTATCTAACATTTTATAATGTTATCAATTATTTTAAAAAAAGTAAAATTTTCAAATTATCTTACATGTTTTAGCTCAATACCATTGATGCGTAATGATTACTAGAGAAAGGACTATTTTCGCAGTATTATTGGCTTTTCTCGTCTATCCAGGTGATAATATGGGTAAGTCTCAATCATAGCTTTAATCATACCTTTCACACGCAAACAATATTCAAATGACAAATTGTAAAATAGCTTAATATACGCTGATAACGAATCAGATCTTAAAAGCTTACATGAGTATGACGGCGATGCTCCCTTAATCTCGCACGGGACAAGCAATCGAATAAAAAGTAACCAACGATTGATCACGGATTTTAATTAATTTACGTGAACCAAAATAACAGGTGATGTGTAGACTGATACCAAGAGGCTACAAGCAAAATTACAAGCGAGTTCGGTGTTGGCGTTAATGAGGCAAATAATAAAGCTTAGCGTATAGGTTTGACTGGATGGCTTATGTCCATGTGGGTCGGGTGGGATGGAAAATCGCAGCGGAGTGGCTGTATAACGTGTGCGGGACACATTTCCGACGCTCGCACAACGAGAGACGCGCCACAAAGCGTAATTGATGAGTCGAAACTTGCAACGTGCGCACGCGTTACCCACGTCGTGCCGCTACTATTGCTACTGCTGCTCGTCGCTCCCGTGGGCAAGCGCCACCACTACTACTACTGCCTGGCAATGTGTTGTTCATACACCGCAAGCTTAACGCAATTGCGTGATCCACACTCACTCAAGTGTAATATTAACAAGATATATGTATGCCTGTCTGTGTATTCCAGCACGCATGTGTATAACACCGAGCACATGCACGAATTTCATTAACGTATCGCGCGCGATGTATATGAGCGCGTGAGATCGCAGCTATTGCGCGAAACTTCATTAAACATACCGAAGGAAGCATAATGCTTCTCAATGTCTTTGGAAGCTTTTTGGCGACGCTCGTCGAACGGTCATCGCCGCCCCATTAGTTGTATTTACGACTTTCACTTCGAGCCCGGGTATAGTAGGTGCAGCCATCAAAACTAACCGATTTTCGATGTAGCTGAGCACTAGATTTTATTGCACTGCTGGAATTTATATGTAATGCGAAGCACATGTGCTTTTTCACGCGAGTTTGCCCACGCGCCCTCGATCTCGGATGACACGTATGAGAAAGCGCGTAGGTTTAATCTCTTGTTCTGCGTAAATAATAAAATACGATTTTGTTTATTTTTCCTTATTTTTAATACTTAGTCGTTGAAGCTAGTGAGTGAGATAAATTAGCATCCTTTGAACGATGATTTGTCGTTTTTCTTCAGATGTATTTCTAATCGTTTCTCTCATCGTCTGCAATGCGCGCACGCGTTTTTATTCCTACTAACCAACCACACGTAGTTCTATTTAATTTAACTAACAAGGAGACCACCTCAGCTCCGGGTCATGGATCTGGCCCAAACTTACTGAGGGTACTTTGTACACCTAGAAAACATGCCCAGTAGGTTTAGTTTCGTCTTATAGGCCCCTGCAAGAAGTAAAACCCACATGCAATATTTAAATATTAATTACATGAAAAAAAAACCTCCTTTATTATCACCTGATGACTCAATAGTTATTAAATCAAGTCCAAACATATTGGAAGCACTTGGACTTGCACTTTTCCATACCCTGAACACACGAAGAAAAATCAGAGCCATAGTATGCGCCATTATGCAGTTATAACTATAATCATAAGGAAAAATATTTAAAAAGTACAACCTATTGACGTTTATCCTCATTCAATTTCTTCTGACACGCAATTGGACCTATTTTATACATTTAAATGAATCCATCAGCTTCATTATGACGTTCGAACTATCTTAATATATTTTTATACATACCTTCTTCATTTTTATCTATCGTAAGATACAATTTTAAGATACATCGTCCACAATTGACTCTTGAAATATTGTTTTTTTATCCTTTTTCAACAGTTTAATATTAAATGTTATACTAATTGTTTAGTTTGGAGTATTATTATAGGGTTTGGTCAGGGGAAATTCGTGCACGAAATTTTTGATTTTCGAAATTAGGTGTAAACACATTTTCGATAATATAATAATACTCCAAACTAAACAATTAGTATGACATTTAATATTAAACTGTTGAAAAAGCATAAAAAAAACAATATTTCAAGAGTCAATTGCGGACGATATATCTTAAAATTATATCTTACGATAGATAAAAATGAAGAAGGTAGGTATAAAAATATTGTACGATAGTTCGAACGTCATAATTAAGCTGCACTGACGAACGAAACTTTAGCTTTAAAATTTTCTGTTATAGTTATCACCCCGATCGCTGAGGCTAATTGGCATATTAAACGCGAATTTGAAGACGCATAAACATACCTTTCCATTTTGTGCGAAACTTTATTCAGCCAATAATATAAGGAGAAAAGATTCATCCGTTTATACCTATGGCGTAAAGGGGGTGATGCAGATGCCGTTGACTAACGAAGCTAAACCCTTCTTCCTTCACTTCTTCTTCAACGTATATATAAATGTATATTGAGAGCGCTGCTTCAAAGATGTCTTTATTCTCTGTATAGGTATATACGACCGTCTAGAAGAACGATGAAGACGGATGCTGGCCTGAATAAATTAAGTTTGAATCAGATCTTCTACTCTGATGTGCGATAGCTACCCTCCCCTCTCGTCTCTCTCTCTCTCTCTTTCTCCTCTCTAACTCGTTCTCTTTCTGCTTTCGTTTTGTGATTGGAACTGTCCTCCTTGTTCCATCTTGAAAACTACGCCTGAAATCTGACTGCTACTGCTACTTGCTTTTGTTTTGAGTCGAAATTTTCCGTGGATCTTTGCACGCAGTATATGCTGTTATTTACTCGAATAAATTCAAAGAATTTTTAAAACAGTCTGGAGAAATTCAAGCAGTTTTCATCGGTGTCAATCGCATCTTTATATCTATGGAACTCTCATATAATAAAATCATTAAGAGTCCTGTAGTGTTAAGTTTTAGGCTCTTCAAAACAAAACAAAAATTTACAATCGAGGTAGTATCTTCAAACCAGTTTTCTTGCCAAAAAAACTCATTTGTCAGTATCGTTACTACTTAAATTATCCTAATTAATATCCACTCAGAGCATAAGATAATAAGTTTTATGCTATATTTACCGAGTCGCATGAGAAATCCAAATGCATTTATTTAAGAAATTTCATTTTTAGTATTTTATTAAATATTGATATTAATTCTGGTCAAACTTAAAGCTAAAATTTTCACTTAATAGGGACACAAATTTTGTATTAAAACGGTTGAGAAATCAATGTTAAAACAAATTATTACTTCGAATTACCAGAAAAAACGTAGTAGTGAATTTCAGTAAAAGGCGGAGAGAAATTTTCTTTACATTCAATGGTCTCGTACTTACAAGAAGCAAAATAACATTGATTTTGTGAAAATCTAGATTTCGCGTGATTCTTCGCTTTGCAAACGCAAAATTCATGCAAAATTCTTTCCCTCTTTTTTCTTTAAGTTTGATAATATTTTTGACCCTTATACCATCATGTTCATGTAGCCCGACGACGTACATACAAAAAATAACGACTTCTTACTGGATGGACTTGGCTTTTCTTATTTTCTCTGCTCAAAAATCTTTCCATATTATTCGATCCTTGATGTATTTGCGTTTCTTTCTTTTATTCTTCAGAATTTTTTCAATGAAATGAATTATGCCAATGGTGACCAAAAGGAAACTGAAAATATTTTTTTTATGTGAATGAAGAAAGGTACAGAAGGTAACTTCATTAAGATATCTTGGATGTTCAATGATAGGTATAATATTCTAATTTTGTGAAAATGAATGGCTTGATATGTTAATAAAAGATCTATAAATAATAATTTCGAATATGAACGAATTAAATCCTATAAAAAGGCTTAAAAACACAATTAAAAATAAAGAAGAAAAAAACTTTCTTGATAAATCAGTCCGAACTTTGAGAGCATATATTGTATTATAAAAAAAAGTATCACAAGAGTTTAATAATAACCAACTTTCTTTTTTACAAACGTGAAAAACCTAAGAATTTAAAACAGTAATTCAGTATTGCTTGAGTTAAAGTCGAGAACAACCTTATTCCATATGAAGCATTTATAAAAGTTTGCTAGTTCGATGAATTGCATAGGAATTAATGAAGACATTAAATTTTTAAAAAGAATTTGGATACTTGTAAATGAAAGCATGAGACTAAGTCGACGTTTCCCCCGAAGAGTAACACTTTTCCATTTAAATTAACACACAAACGTGTTACTCTTCGTGAGGAGCATTGATGATATTTAAACTAAAATGCTTGAGAACTTACACAATTTGCGAAACGTGAATAAAATTGCATAAAATGAAACAAAAATGAAATCAAACAATAATAATATTTGAAAATAATATGAAAATACTCTGTGAAGAAACACCCGTCCCCCAGCGAGTCAGTTTGTGTAATCGAATCTACTGTATACATAAAGTCCACAAACTGGAAAAAAATAAAATACCAGTGGAGAATGAAAAACATACGTGTAAGCTTGAAAAGGTGGGAAAAGGGAAAGCGAATCGTGAAAAAAAGACAATGGTAGTGAATCAGTCATCAATTGTCAATGCATATACAAGCGTCAGCAAACATGAAGCAAAAAACGCCATGTCCAACGGTAAACGGAGTAATTGAATAATGTTGGTCGGTTATTCTGATCCCAGTTTTAGGGCTTGTATTCGAAAATGTACGTAAATATTAGCCACTACACTTGGAGAAGCATGATGTTTGAAAATCAGTGTTTGAAACAATATTTAGTAATGTAAAAATCGATTGTCTATAAACTCAAACATGTTTACATTTTATGGAAAAATTTTCAAGTTCACCTTGAGAATTTTTTTAATAAAACTTGGATTTTTAACGATGAATATTTTTATCGTTGACAGTTTAAATGTAGCTTCGGTTGTTTGGAGAGGATTTTTTTACCAATTCGATGAAATTTGACAGAATATTGAATAAGAACTCCAGTATTTCACAAATAAAAATTAAAATATTCAAGATTTATTTGATATATAACGACTCCAAAACGTTAAAATTTTTCGAATTAATAAAAATAGACAAAAATGCTTCAAACAATGATTGAAGGTAATACAATGTAGAAGTAAAACTCCACAATTAACCTAATCTTTAAATACTTCTGAAGACAAAATGAAAATTACAACATTAATCAAGGATGCGTGCGGTTTTACTTATCTTTATAGAACTTACCTCCATATTTTTTCATAGGAGCTTTTTTGTATCTCGATATTCGACTAACGCTGCTATTTTCAGTTTTAATTCCAGTGAAATGGTTCTTACCACTCAACTAGGATTAATAAACATTTTCCATTCCCGATAGGACAAAAATCATTAATGCTAAGCTTCCTTCTACTATACTACTGCATAAAGCTTTTATTTTTTTGCATTTGGCGCTGTATATATATATGTAAAAATTTTTTGGCCATTCGATTTCACAGAGAATCGGCCATATATGTATTATATTTAGATCGATTCATGGGCATCTGTTAGCTCTCATCTATCTAAAGTCAAAAACAATTTTTTTAAATTCTAGGAGAAATGCTCTCTACTTTTATCAATCATACCCATGAATATTTTGACTGTGTATTTTAACACAATATGTATTTTGTACTAATAAACCAAAATTAATTTAATTCATATCGCCTAGCCGAGATTAAAATTATTTTAATTTTTTCAGGAAGAGCATTTCAACCTGAATTCATGAAACCTTTAGCCAATATAACAGTTCCTCTCGGCAGAGATGCAGTTTTCACGTGTCACGTGGAACATTTGGGAGGATACAGGGTTAGTTTTTTTATTCATTTACTCTACAATCATCATTCATTTTTGATCGAAATTATTTTGAAGATAGTAATTTCTCTTATAACATACATTTGAAACAATTTGAAAGCAAGTTGCAACACAGTGAATTATTGGGACATTTTTGATGAATGCAAAATGCAGCAATTCAGTAAACTTTGAAAAATGAAAAAATATTTTCGTTTTAATTAAATTGACGTTCCATTTTGAATTTTCTTATTTATAAATCAGGTGGGCTGGGTGAAAGCCGATACAAAAGCTATACAAGCTATACATGACCACGTGATAACTCATAATCCAAGAGTCTCCGTTTCTCATGGCGATCACACAACCTGGAGTCTACGTATTAAAGGAGCTCAAAAAGAAGATGAAGGCTTGTACATGTGTCAGATCAACACAGACCCGATGAAGAGTCAGGTAATTCAATAAAATAATAAAAATGCTATAGGTAATATTTAAAAAATAACATTCAAATATTCTTACCATCATTGCATGTACATTAGACAGATTTAAAAAAATCAAAGGTCTTTAAAACCTCGATTTTACTATCTTAATGCCTTCAATATGCTTAAAAATAAAGCCCCAAAAAATTTTAGCCCTTAATATTACGCTTATAAAATCACTCATCGAGCATTTTAATTTTCAATTTAAATAAGATTCGACAATTATTTTTTCTACTAATTGCTACTCCCTTTAAATTTCCGAACCTATCTTAAATAAATTAGACTTAAATGAAAACACGTATTTTAATGCAAAATTTTATCATCTTTTAGAATCCGGCTTTGAAATTGAGATTAACGTATTATTTCAGATGTTGTAAGCTAACTTTTTGGGGTAACTTTTCAAAATTTTGGCTTAAATTTCGTCTCCATCTCGCATAGATTTCTCAGAATTTTATAATGTGTGAGGAAAAATATGATTTTTCGAGAACTCTGAATTACTGCATTTTCAGCTATAAAAACGCATACCACAAAAACAGCTGCATCTCAGAACAATTAAGGAGTTCTTAAAATTTAAATACGTCGTTGGAATGGTAAAAAAAATCTATCAAACAATGCATTGACATTTTTTCATAGGTGATTGTGCTGAGTCATTTTAGAAGAAACAAATACTCTTTTCTCGAATTATACAAAAACAACGTTTTTCGGCACATAAATGGCTTATTACATCTGAAATAATGCATAAATCTCGATTTTGAAGATGATAAAATTTTGCATTAAAATACGTGTTTTCAAACACGTCTAATCTTTCTAGTATAAACTCAGAATTTTAAAGAGAAAAATAGCTTTTTGAATCTTATTTAATCGAAAATCAAAATGCTCGTCGATTGATGCTCGATATCGTGTTTATGAAGTCAGCAGACACAACGTGAAATTTTTATTTAACTCGCTTATCGATAAAATAAATAGTAGTAACAAATATTTTTACGCTGAACCTAGGGCTCAAATCTTAACGCAATTTTTTTATTGCTTATTAAGTGGGTCAACGCGAATTTGATACACATCCATTTATATTAGAAAAAAACTTGATGATGACTTTCAAAACTATTGTCATAATTTTTCATTGAGAAAAAATGTAGTTAGAAATACACAATAATTTTATTTATTATCCGCGTCATCATTTAACTATATTAAACTAAGATTTCAAAGTATTTTATAGACAACCCAAATTAATAAACTACTTTTCAAGAATTAACCTTGGACTAAAAAAAGGAAACAAGTTAGTTTCAAAAAGAAAAGAGATAGTTTCTTTCAAGAAGTTTGAATTAATCGAGAACCATCCTAAAAACGTAAAATTTTTCATAAAATACACACAAAACACGCCTTTTGTTAATTAATGCAAAGGAGTCGTAATAATTAAAGTGCAGTTGAGAGCTTGAGACTTTCCAATTACACCCACAATAATATTCGAATTCGGCTTATTAGCTATTAATATTTTGGTTAACTGAAATGGAAAAGAAACAGTAAAAGTTTGAAGCTATTAAATATCCGGGTTCATCTGCAGATGCTTAAAAAGATAAGAGATAATATTAACAAAGTAATAAACCAGAACGGTAATTCTTCATCGAAAATTTCACTTGCTAATTATTTTTCTTTGTTAATATTTTATGAAATGTAATAAATATATGGGTATAAGCAAACCTAGTTTGATAGTTTTTTTTGTAATATTAAAAATAAGTACGGAATTTAATAAATGTGAATTTTAAACAATTATATTAAATAAATCGTTATTACTATTCCGATGGTTAATTTAGCAAAATAATTGAAATCGTACAACTTCCTTGATCATCTTTCAATAATTAATAGATTTTTTCAAACCCGATGCTATTTCTTTAACGTTTTTGCATTGGATATTATTTTAATCCCGATTGGTGTTTATCTTTTGATCAGCCCAAGTCAATGTAATTCAACACAGGTGCAAAATCAAGTACATTAATGTGAAATAGCATCTGATATTAATTAACATTTCAAAGGACACTCATTAAAATAAAGTGTGAAATTAGGTGCAATATAATTACATATTAAGAACGAGGTTCATGATTTTGATTTAAAATTAATTTTATAAATATCAAGAATTCAAGTCCCAAATACTGTGGTTGTTAATATTGTTAGGGCTGAGCTCAAAAAAAATTTATCTAAAAAAATTCTATGAACATAGAAAAAAGAAAATTAAACAAATTAACTGCGTATTAAAAGACTTCAACGAAGCAGAGATCAGTCCTACATTGACAGTAGCAACGCCTTAAAGCACGACAGGTACAAAGTAATTAGGAAGGTCTTGAGTATACTTATGTATACGTACATAACGAGAGAGAGAGAGAGAGAGAGAGAGAGAGAGACAGATCTAGTGAAAAGAAGCTTGTTCACGAAAACATCGAAAAGAGTCGGGAGATACATCTCTTTTAAACGCGACTAATGAAGTCCTGTATATACATGTATACAAAACCACACACCTTCACGTTAAACTTTCGGTACTATACATAGCTGAAAGGTTAAGCTCGTAATATATACATCCTTCAAGCCGCTTTGCTGTTTTTCAAGCGTGCAATGCGAAGGACGAGAAAAATCTTTTATCTATAAAAGGGCCGAAATGTGAGAAACGAGTCTGTATATTGTTACTCTTGCTTCTCATCTTCTGATACATGCTCACGTTTGATAAAAATATATTCAGCATAGTAAAAAGCTGCATCTGATTAAATTTTTGTTCTTTTCTTTTTCATCATATCAATTGGATTTTACTGCACATAATATTTACTAAGGAGAGTCATACACTAATTCACTCCTCTTTGTCATTTTTGTGATATAAACCACAGTTTAATGTCAATCTACATTTTCAACATAAAATTGGCATCTTTGAGTCTTAAAAAATGTGAAAAAAGTTGCAGAATGGTCCTTTGCATCTAAAAATAGCTTATTTTTGTTATTTTAGCCTTTCGGCACTGTGCGCAAGGTTCAGATCAGAGTTTTTCAGGTGGGAGTCAGGTAATGAGATTGCCTACTCACTGATTAAGTTAGAATTAATAATTTTTTATTTATTCTTGTTGAGCCATCACAGGCTTAATTGTGGATTTTTAACAATTATAAAAAATAATAAAAATAAAATTGATCTCATAGTTTTGCTAGTGTCACTTTTACTTCACATGTCATACTGACCTAATGCAAAAGTAAACTTGCCCTAAAATTTATAAAAATAGGGCAGTATATTTTAATTGTAAGAAAATATTGTGCATTAGCTTTCTTGGGTTATTAAAAATAAAAAATAACATTCGTACAAATTGAAACGAAAAAAATTAATTCACACAAATGTTTTCTTTAATTAAAAATATACGGATCGATAATGATTACTCCCTTATTTTAAAAGTAATCAATAATATTTAATTACAATATTCAATGCCGAGAAAATTAGATGTAACCTTGTTTTCAAAGTAAAAACGATATTAGGAAAAAGTATGCCGTAATATAATTTATGTGTGCCTATATTTATATTGGCACTATGTATTGAATGTGTTTCTGCCGATAAACAGAATGATGTTTGTATTCGAACATTTGAGCAAGTCTGAATGAAAGATTCTATTAATGTTATGCAATGGGCATGTACATACGATGTATTTGACTGGGAAAACACCTCAATTGTCTAAACTTCTTTTTAGGCTCAAACGAACACGAAGCTCTTGACTGTTTTCTTTGTGAAACATTTTTTTCCGTAGCATAGAGTACCCACTCTTGGAAGTTAATGAAGACAGTTTTCATGAATTTTCGCCTTTTATTTTCAATCAAACGAATGGGCGATGGCAGGTCAGTTTAGAGGTCATAAAATAGTAAAAATCATCGTCAAAATGCCTCAATGCCTATTTCCATAATTTTTTATAATAATACAAATTGAAAAATAAAGCCGAGATTATCAACGATTATCATCGAATCGAAAGAAGTATTTGTCAATTTTTTCATTTGAATTTTTTATCAATTATGTATATATTCAAATTCAAATGTGCCATATGAGTCATCGGCATGGAAAGTGTCACACTTTATGCAGATACGTATATTTGTATATATTGTGCGCGAGCACACGAAGCGGTTGGGAGACGATTTTCCTCACTATGCTGCATCAGCACATAAATATATATATCGTGTTCTGGCTGTCCGCTTTCTGTCGTATAATAATTAATACATAAAGCTGTGAAGCTTTCGCTTGCTCAATTATTCTATATAGCCTGCGGAGCTTCGGTCATTGCTGCAGTTAGCCCCATGTGTCATCGAATACATGTATGTGTACGGTGGTTCGACATCCACAGCTACTCTTGAAATCGTCTCTTTTCTCTACTGTGTAAAGGTTTCATTGTATGATTCAAACAGGCTACGCAACACATACAAGTGTGTGTATGTACCAATATATATATAGTAAAAATATATGATGTATATATGCTGACCCGGTTGGCTACTACACTACTATGAGTACGTACGGCCTCTCTTTTCATACGTGTTACTATGCTATATTTCTTTTGAAGTCAATCGAGCTTTGAAATTCTTTTGGCTTCATAGACTCGAAATATTACACGACAGGCAACACTCCTGCATTTAGAATATTTTCATACAACTGTTGACTTTAATGATGGGGTTATAATTTAAATTTTTCTTTTCATTATGTGAATATAAGTGATGGAAAAAGTTGACATTGTTAAATTTGTAGAGATTTCAAGCTATATCAACGAGAATTTCTTTTAGTTCATGACTGTAATGAGATTCAAAAAATTGTTTACAAAACATAATGTGCGTAAAAAAAAGTTATTGAATTGATTAAATTGCAACAATTTAATGAAAGTCACTGCGCTGAAAAAAAACTAATTTAGCCGAAAAATCGTGAAATTTTGAAGAATATTTCGAGTTTTGCAAAATTTATCTAAAATCTTGATAGGATGTGTTTCTAAACTTTATTTTCGTCCTATGAAATTTTGAAAGGTTTAGTCAGCATATTCTCAATCTTGCGAGAGCTAACCTCAAGCTTGGATGTAAGCTATGCAAAACATGAAATATTGTTCCAGCGAGAATACGAGCATATACCGCTCTAACCCATCGAGAAGAAGGAATCTACTTTTCTTGGTGTAACTCATTAATTAAAAAGGTTGATACCAGAAAAATATGTATTTTTGAAATTGAAAAATTTAATATTCAAATATTAAATATTCAATGAAATAAAGTAAAATAAATTAACTCGTAGTTTTCGAAACGTCAGTTATACAATTTCGTAAACTTTTCTTTATTGAACAAAAAAATTTATGCACACGCTGCGACGTGATAAAGATTTAGAATAATTTTTTAAAAGTATTCTATCAAATTCTAATATTACGTAAAATACAAGTACTTTAAAAAGCTCTGGTCACGTACGCGTACTTTTGTAAATAAATTCAAACAATTGCACATTGAAAGCTGTGCTGAGAGCTCTTGACTCATCATTCTCAAATCGTCACTCTTCACCAGTACATCTAGAGCAGTCTCGTAAAGAGACAGAGTACATAAAAAACTACCAATGAATAAGTATCGAGTAATTCAGGTCCATCATCTCTCCCACATCCAATTAAAAAAGCTTTGAGCCCTGTCTGCCTTGTGAAAAATATGAAAAACTTTCAGATCTGCCATGTGAACCCTTATACATATATATGGGGGACTCTCTGTAAACTCATCCAGACAAAAAAATTTTCCTGTACCCGACATAATTGACATTTTTTTCGATATGTTAGAAATGTTCACGAATTTTGATAGAATTTTTGGGACCGTCTATAACCCTTTTTCTGAAATCTGATTTTTTTCGAAATTTATGCTTATTGTGGATACTTCAAAAAATCCTAGCTCAGCGTTAAGGAATTTCAGAAAAAAGTGCAAAAAAACCTATTGGCAGAAGATTATCAAAACTATCAGAAAAAAATGTTCCAAAATAATATCGGCACTCTAAATACCAAAAATTCCTAAAGCTTTCTTAGAATGTCTTGTACTACTAATTGCATTTTTGTAATGGCTTGAATTTTTTACGAAAAGGTCCAATAACGTAAAATTCTGAGACATTACTGACTTACCAAACAACATGTTCATAATGTCTTATCCATGAAAAATTTTTTGGATGGTTTAATTGATACCGAATTTCCCATATACGTATAACTATATTATTACGTTACTATTCGACACCGTCGTTTGTAATCGAACTAAATTTTTTTCTTTTTATAAAAATATTTGACCAGTTCGTTAAAGTGATTCTTTCCGTTTTTTCATTTTCACGAAATGGAAAATTAAAAAAGAATTAAATTGCATTCATACCATTTCAATAACTTAAAACTTTCAAGTTAAAACTGACGATTTTCTATTTTCACGATACACACGATATTATCTGAGTTTCACGAATGATTTGCTTCTCGAATTGCAGACGGGTATGTTGGCGGTTGAAATCCCCCCGGACTTCATTCCGGAAGAAACATCGAGTGATGTGACGGTACAAGAAGGCTACCACGTAAGTATAAAGACATTTTATACGCATATTAATAGTAAAGAAAATAAAATAAGAAAACTCGTTGCAAATAATATAAAAAAATCGTTGCAACTCTCAAGGTCGAGATAATTTTTTTTTAGAAAAATCTAAAATATAAAAAGAATGGGAGAAGCTAACTTGATTGGCGCGAATCTTATCAGCTATATATAGAGCGAGGCGTACACGCAGAACGCTCATTGAAAAGTGAGTTCAGCCTGACTCGATTAAGGTCTTATCAGTTGAGTTCAGATAAATTGGATCTCACAGTTTCATTCTCTCTTGTAACACTACTGCTGCCTACTTTACTTTCTCTAGCCCTCTCTCTCTCTCTCCTTCTTTGCTCAACTCCCTCACTATACTCTCTCTGCGAGTTTTCTTACGTCCGGCTTCTTGTGCAGCAAACTAATTTTGTTAACATTGAATTTCGGAATGAAATAGTCGCACGCGCGCTTCGGTCAATGCGCGTGGCAGAGATGCAGTTGCGGAGAGAACTACCGGCGAAAGAAATTTTTCTTTGAGAAGAAAAACCATTTTAAAGTTATCGCGAGATAGGCATGGATGACCATCATATGCTAATAAAATCAAAAATAAGAATTTTTTCGGGGCTCAGATTTTTGAAAGTTAACGATTGTGAATGTAAAATTATGCATACACTAGTTAACTTTTTTGTAAGAAATGTTTTTCGTAAAAAAGGAATAATGAATGAATCGACCTCTTGAATATTCTTGGTACATACAGAAGCATGAGTAATACAGAAATCGAAACGAACTAGCACTAAACAGAGAACATTTTACGAAATATAATTAAATTACAGGTCAAATTGAAATGTCGAGCAACTGGTATACCTCCGCCAAAAGTCAGTTGGCGCAGAGAAGATCAAAAGGATATAATTATTCGTGAACCTTTCTACGAAAAATCAACTAGTTCCAACGAAAAGGTCAAAGGTAACGCACATTACATTCCGAGTATGCATATAAAACATACCTAGCACTGCGTGAAGTCGTAACATTTGAGGATGAATAGAACTACTTGAAAATCAATAAAATTTTATAAAAATATTGATAGCTAATAATTTAAAATCAATATATTTCGGAGCACTTTTGCAAACCAACAACCAAAATATGAATCCGATTTTGACAAAGTTTGACTTTGAAACGAATGTGAAAATATCATTGCATTATTAAAGCAAATGAAATAAACTGCTCGATGTATAATAAGAAATAGTTTAAAATTCATTTTTTACTATTTTTGTTACAGTTCAAAAGGTCAACGAGTGGATTGGTGAGGAGTTGACACTATCAAAGATCAAACGAGATCAAATGGGCGTTTATCACTGTATAGCCAGCAATGGAGTACCTCCTAGTATCAGCAAACGCATAATTGTCGACGTTACTTGTTCGTAATAATATTATATTACTTTCATTTCATATTTCAAATAAGCTCGCATGTTATTTAAAATGTATAAAAGAAAATTTTCAAGTCAGCCTGTGTTTGACGTTTTAGATTTTAATGTACGAATGGTATTAATTCTCAACGCAATGCATTATTCTCAACTAAAGCATTAAGGTTATATTGTACGCAGGGATACAAAGACACTCAAATATAATGATTATTTTATAAATCATTTGTTCGATGCTGTCGAGGCTCGTCGGTACGAGCTTGAACGTTGACGTTGTTTGAAAAAAAAACAACACAGCACTCAATTAAAATCAGTCGGTGAGCAAAAAGTGAGCTGGAAATAAAAAAGAGAGTGCATCGTGAGCGAGTGAGAGGGAGAGAGAGAAAAAGAGAGACTGTGTATGGGAACGAGTGCATGTTCGAGTAAACGTTAACGAGGCACGCCTTGGGATTGCATATTGGACGGTGATGATAATAAAAAAAAATTTACTGCCAACGACTCTTTTTATTTCACATTTTTTTTTGCTCTGTATCAACACAGTTCCACCGGTGATACACGTGCCGAATCAACTAGTCGGTGCACCTCTTGGGACCGACGTCACGCTCGAGTGCATTGTCGAAGCCTTTCCTGTGTCGATCAATTTTTGGCGCGGCAATAAAGGTAAGATTAATACATGAACTGCTACTTTTATGTATCATTCGATTAAACAATTTTACTCCTTTCAAATGCTTGCTAAACAATCGCTTTCCTCTGTCAAAGTTCATTCCGTTCATATATTGTATGAGCAGGTATGTTCGATATAGCTCGGTTCATTTTGAGCTGCTACTCTTTATAAATCAATTTTACAACTCAATTTAATTATCAATTATAAAATGAGAGAGGATAAAAAAACATAGAAATGCTGTTCAATGTTTTCAAGCGTATGTAATCGAGAAAAATCAAATAGCAGAAAAAATATATAGGAGAATGAAAAAAGGAGCTCAGCAATTAGCGATACCGTACTGCCGCCGTAGGATATACATACACGCCACGGGAAAGTCTGAAAAACTCGTTCAAATACTTCCTTGACATGTTGAATTTCAATCGGAATATTTTTTGTGATGCATGCGTTGTTGAGTCTCATGAGTATGTATATAGAGATGATTTTCAAAGCTTAAGCAAAAGTTGAGAAAAAAATGTCTTCGTTTCGAAGTATAAACACATACAGAAAGAAATAATCTATTCCACGGTTTAAAATAAACACCGAAAAGCTTGTATTACTCTCGTACGACAGCTTCGCACAGGATCCCTTTTCAGAGGAGCATTGATCGGTCAAACTAAAAGCCAATGGCTCGAGATGTTCGATCCTTTTGCCACGGAAAAAGATCAGACTAAAATGCTTTAGTAGCGCTCACTTCACTTTCTTATTGATTTATCGGTTTCGCTGCTACTACACGAGCTTCATATCACAATTCTGAAATATAGTTTTAACTACAATGGCAAGTCCAGCGTCCATTAAATTTACTCCCGTTTACTGAGGTGCTGTACTGTACGGTACTGCGTGCGGTTTCACTTATTTTATTCAAAACGAACCCAAAGGCATATAATGCATAAATGTTTGGAAGAAGCCTTTTCGAGGCAAATCCAGATCGATAGCGCGAGGCATGCAACGAGCGAGTGCGATGCAGCTTTCTTCCGATACAGCTACCGATATTGCTGCGATGAGAAAGATCGATATTCATCGCAGCTCAAATGAGAGATTTCGGGAAATTCAGACTCGCGCGTGAGCCCGGACTGGCTGTAGTTCAACATCCGTAACGCGATAGGGCGCGTACGGCCAACTCGCCTAGTCTGCACAGAGAGAAGCGGGGGGGAGCGCTTATCATCAGCCTCACAGACCAAAGATCCGCCCGTAGCTTTAGTCAAATATAAACTTAACATCGTCCCACACAACGGCGGCCGCCGCCAGCCCTCATCCCGAAGCCGTCGATGGGCATTGAGTCGATTACGATATTAATAGCCATTCGTATCGATAGCTCGCTGGTGACCTTAAACCTTTGCTTTTACTTCAAGTCCTGTATCGAAATTAAACCGGTTTTTGGTTGAGCTTATGAGTACAACCCGGCAAATTTTTAACGCCTTGACACCATTTTTTTTCAAGACGATATAATCATAACAAGCAGTCGACACGAAGTACAAATACTGACGAAACCGACCCTCAAGGGACACCACAGCGTGGCACATCCAAATTTCAATTTCAAAGTGCGTATGTTGCTGATCATACGTAATTTCACCAAACAGGACGTTGGAACTTACAAATGCATAGCTAAAAACTCGAACGGCGAGTTTGAGAGCAGCATCAGACTTTATGGTGAGTATACTTTTTCAAATTTTACTTTGAGAAATTTACCTACAGAACGTAATTATTTCCAAAAATGTCAGTACTGACGATTTAAAAGTGACTCCAAGATTCGAAGAGCAACTCTTACGTTGAAAATAATTTGACAGCCTTGAATAAATACTTGTAATTATAATTTATGCTCTTTCGGAAAATATCTTACGTATTTCTAGTGAAAATCAGAGCACCATTTGTCAAAAGTGAACAGAGTATATGTACAGTCAGGAAAACGTATGCGAAGATAGATGTTACTCGCCCAAGGTTCAGGTGTTCATGAATACAGCCACATGAAAACTGGCGCACGCACACACTGTCTCACTTAATACTACGTACACACACATACATATACATTAACACAGATGCAGACTATAGACTATACAGAGTAAAAGAAGATACGTTTACATGTATCCTCACTTTAACATCCAAGCCTTTTGGGATTTTAGCTTTTGGCAGTATATAGGAGAGTAAGACGTTTATACGTTCTAGAAACACACATTGCGAGTGCGTATATATACGTGCAGAATCTTCGCACGAATTACATTATGTACCTTTTGAAACATTCTTGAGAAAATATGTCAAACTAGTTATTTTATTCATCTGAGACTACGCATAGGCGTGACGTGAACTGATGCCTTTGGTGCTGCTGATGCACCTTTAGTCTCTTTTCCCCCTTATCAATCTTTCAATTTGACGCTTTATTTGACAATTGATGGTAAAGTATTTGAGTAAATAAGATTTACTTCAAGAATGAACAAATATAATTCTTATATAAATATATTAAAATTTCCACAGCGAAATAATTTTTGATTTTCATTTTTTTAATAAATTATAGATAAACTTTTTCTTCTTAATATTTCCTGCCTCATAATTCTGTGTGCATGGGAAAATGAATCTATGATAGGACCTCAAAATTGGCATTCTTACCTTTTCAAATTTCCGATAACCGATGCTTGACTTAATTACATACCATTAAAAGAATGTTCAAGTCATATTACTCAAGTACTGCTGTAAAGTTGCTGTATCTTTGCATTATTCTTACACATTATATCGGGTTTTATTATAAAGCGGCACAAGAGCCAATATTGAAATTACCATCAGCGTAGATTGTTTTCCGATTTTTTTTTCCTCTTTTCTTAATTTTTTTCCGACTCGCATAAACAGATCTCTACGGCGCATGTCTACACACACATACATATTTATGTATGTATGTATTCGTTGGTGCACAGTTGTTAATATTCGTTTGACGATAAACTTAGCTTGTCTGGTAGCTTATACCCAGAACGACAAATGCGTTTCCCTCTTTTATCAGTGCGAAGCAATTACCTTTATTTTCGAGCGCTCGAGACCGTACTTTTTACCAAACCTCGTGCAGCATCCATGATATACTGGTAGATGACTCAGTAGACTCGTATAATTTAATAAACCGATGTTCTTCTTCGCCCTAACTGGAGACAAGCTTTTATTGGATTAATGTTTTCTTGTGTGAGTAGAGAGTGAGTGAGAGAGAAAGAGAGAGAGAGAGAGAGAGAGAGAGAGAGAGAGAGAGAGAGAGAGAGAGAGACTTTTCGTGAGAATCTTCCAGGTACTCTAAATGTGAACGTGTTCGAGCTTTGACGATTGTTAAAGATTTAATGAAATCAAACCCTTGACACTATGGCTTTTGCCAAGTTACAGTCAATATACCTTCAAATTGACGTTTTCTCTGCCTCAAGCATCGATAAAAGATAACCGATAGTAAATTTAATTAGACATTACTTTTCGTTATGCATGTATAGCTTGAAAGGACGCACTAAATTTGGTACATTCTATTTAAATAATCGAATACATTTCTTAGTGGTTGTTCAAATGTTGAGAGTTTTAAAATCCAATTATTCGAATATCAAGAGCTCGTTATTTTCATCTTTGAACCATTGAATACGGGATTCAAAGAAAAATGTACGGACACATTCGTGTTTTTTACGTTATATCGATAATCATAATTGACTTATGGACTCAATTCTCAAATGTCAAAGCAAGTCCAGCCTGTGAGCTTTATGACACTAGTCTCTGCTTACAAACTAATGGTATTCGTGAAAAAAATAATGTGTATTCGCACGTATCATATATATATCCAGCCTAAAGTAACATTTTGGTTTTGCGCAGCGGGAGTAAAATGTTACTTTAGGTTGGGGTAGCACAAAAAAATGATTTAGCGGTACAAAGCAGGCGTCGTTTGAAATGATTCCGAAGCATGATTAAAATCCGAAACATTTTTCAATTGTATGGGAAATTTTTTAATAGTATATTACTGCCCTAGGCCGGGAAAAACAGAAAAGTCCCAGGGCACGTGAAATAAGCGACCGAGGCGAAGCCGAGGTCGATTAGCACGTGCACTGAGGCTTTCTTTTTTCCCGGTATAGGCCAGTATACGATTTTACATACCCCAGGCCCGAAAATAGCAATATTCCGTTTAGCGCAGCGGCCGAGAAATGCTACTTTCATGTGCTACTTTCATGTCATGTTATCCAGCTAGACGACCGTACCGCATCTCTGTTTCAGATATAACAAGCGCAGTAAAGCAAAAATCGTCTTACAACGTCGCTGGTGTCGAGTCGAAAATCAATCGGCATGAGTACGAAAATCAGCAGGGGTTGGAGATCGACGATGGAGATCACTCGGGGTTCGACGGCCTCGACGAGTATAACCAAGGATACGAGCGCATAGGAAATGGAGAGGTGAGGTCCCAACAGCCCCTCGACAATGTGGTTCAGAGCTCGCACTCCGTCCCGACTCAATCCTCGTCCTCGTCTTCGTCGTCGAGTAAGGAACGCAGAAAAAGGCCGGGTGGCGGTCATCATCAGTTCAGATCGAACTCGAACCGAAGCATCGACGGCTGTGCACTGCTACTTATTCTCATGGCGTTCGTCGTCACCTACAGGTGAAAGAACTGACATTTATTTCGAAAGCATAATTCTATGCTACTACTTATGGATCAATTATACTCACACAACTCTATCATTAAAACTCTATGCTTATTTTTGCAAACGTAAGCCGAATAACATAAATATATCAAAGCTTGATAATGCAATAACACCTATGTGAAAATGCCAATAAAAAAAATAGAAGTTAGTAAAGAGTCGGAACTACAGAGTTGACGCTAAATACTACTATAACCCATTAATTGCCAATAATAATTTAACGAATTAGATATTTATACAAAAAAACTGTTTTTAGCATACTTCAAGATAAACCGACACCTGTTATGAATCAAATACAAGTTAAAGATTACTCAAGTTCACTTTTAATAATCGGTTGAATACACTTACTTGATATAGTTTTTCCAAATTAATTCTAGTACTTTTCGAACGACCATAATAGGTTTTTTACCGAAAAAAAACGCATACACCATTTACCTGAGAAATTGTAATCTATAGTTTTGAACAAAAACAACTAGAAAAAAAAAAAAAGATTTGACTAAGTTATTTTGTAAATTATTAATGACCTTCATATCATGAAAAATTGACCCGGCAATTAAACTTATTTGTCCTGAGCATTAATTTCGATGAATTGTGAATGATCAAATTCTTGTTTCAAATTATCATTGATTAGCATTTTGCCGATTCCAAAAGAAGTCTCATAATCATAAAAATCCAATTACACTTTTCAGATGGGTATGGATTTTTGAAAAATGCTTCAAATGTAACGTGTATGATAAGCGCATTGCACAAATATTTTCCGACGCTGAATATACTAAGTCACGTGTATGTATATGTAAAAAAAATATTTGTAGAATCTCTGAGAGATACATGTTTCGAAATATATAAAAATACTTCATTCGGCTACGCTTTCTATTGAAAGCGTAAGTAAAGGAGAATTCCAAATTGTTCGAGTTGTTAAATATACACAAAATTATCGTAAAGAAATACTAGTTACTAATGGGCTTGAATCAAGAAAATTAGCTTTCTGTTTTATTTCTCCAAATTCAACTAAATATTCTAATATATTCCAAATTAACGCGCAAAAGTGCAATTTTGTGCATGAATTTTCCATTGTAAAAAAATAATAGATAAAGTTAAAATATTTTCTTGAAAATCCATACCCCTTGGTTTTTGGGTATGCTCTTTCATAATCCGGTGTTATTTTTGAGTTAAATAATCATTATCATTGTTTATTTTGCAATTAAAAAAAAACGTGATTTTTTGACTTAAAATTTTTTTCAAAGTCGATTTTCTACCTTGCTCGCCTTCGGAGGGCTCCAATAACATCAGCAATCGTGCACTTTTTTCTGAACCTTCAAAAAACGCGCTGCCGCGATTTTTATCTAGCCCCAATATTTCTAAAAATCCCTCATTTTTTACTCGAAAACTATTTCACATGTTCTAAATATCAACTAACAAGTACGATTTGGAGTGTAAAAATTTACTTGAAATCGTTTAGAGAATACGTGTAAATTTTTTCAGAATTTTTCAGACCACTTCGAAAATTTTGCAAAATATAACCATTTCCCGGCCTGTCGAAAAAATTCATAATGTTCCAAAAAAATTCTGAAAAAATTCTGAAAAAATTCACATGTATTTTTTGAACAAATTTGAACACTTTTCATTGTATGACTTTTTTTTATAAAGTCAATAATTTCCGAATAAAAAATAAGGGAATTTGTATATCGCTGCTCGGTATAAATTCGCCATTGTAGAAATATAAGGGTTAGATAAAAATCGCGGTTGTGCTTTTTATGAAGGTTCAGAAAAAAGTGCACGATTTTTGGTCTTATGGGAACCCTCCGAAGGCAGGGCAAGGTAGAAAATTGACTTTGAAAAAAAATTTTAAGTCAAAAAATCACGTTTTTTTTTAATTGCAAAATAAACAATGATAATGATTATTTAACTCAAAAATAACACCGGATTATGAAAGAGCATACCCAAAAACCAAGGGGTATGGATTTTCAAGAAAATATTTTAACTTTATCTATAATTTTTTTACAATGGAAAATTCATGTACAAAATTGCACTCTTGCGCGTTAATGGGTTAATGCTAGAGATAAGTTAAGTAAATTATTTTTTCTTATTCAAGTCTAGTGCATTATCGAATTGACTATTAAAATTATTTGCAGTAGATCGTTAAGCTTATCAGATTATTATTGGAAGATCTAAACAATCGTAAGTAAATTTAAATATAAATTTTACGTGTACAAAGTCAATAATTTTTTTATATGATATTCGATAAGTATAGTTGAATGCTTGATGATATCGTGTAAATAAAAATAATAGTTTGTTTGTTGTAAGGGGAAAAGATTAAACGCAATTATATGACTGTAAAATTTTAATTTTCAACTCATCACTAATGATGAATAAAACGGAAGCAAGAAAGTTTCATAATAAATGATGAATTAACCAAATGTTTCATTTGCTGTTCCAAATTTACTGACTTTCCTTTTTTTTAATTTATAGTTATCAACGTAACGAAATAAATTAATTTCACTTTTACACAAAATGAAAAATTTTACATTCTGTATCATGAAGTTGTATTTATAAATTTTGATAAATTGAACGAGGTTTTTTATGCAAAATAGAACTCAAAACATATCATGAGCTTGTTGTCTTCATTATAATTACATTACAAAAGGAACATTTTGGAATATTGTTTTAACAATAATTGCAACAAACAATATTTTAATAAAAAGTACATTAAAATTTAAATTCTATACAATTACATTTATTTTATCAAGTTATTTTACTCTCAAATCAAAGCTAATTGATTAATCAGTGAATCCAAAAAAGTCAAAATATTATAAAAGCTGTACTAACTACTATAAAATGCTTATGGGTTTGACAAGATAAACAGAAATTGTTTTATGCAAATGATGTTGCTTAGATAAACCGAAGTTAAATTTATTTCAAAAATCTGGAAAATTAAATAATTGTATTGATAGTATATAATCAATAAAAGATTGTATGTAAAAAATGAACAGGTATAAAACAATAAAGTTCTTAATAATGTAATAAAATTGTATCAAAACAATGACTGTTCTTTACTACAGAAAACTTACTCATACATTTAACCATATATATTTATATTATAATTTTAAGTAATTAACTAATTAATTTTTTTAGCAAGAGGGAAAACGAAAAATAATATTTTTAAAATGAAAGAGGTTACTTAACTTATAATATTATTTGCTTAAGGGGGGAAAGGCACCTAAAAATCGAAAAAATTTTTATTAGAATTTTTATTATATTTTTGAGTAGGATTTTTCCTCCCTTTTTCATTGCATTTTTCGAAATTTCAAAATTTTGATTTTGCACCGAGATAAAGCCGTTTTCGTGAGCCTTTTCGGTATACTTTACGTGTTAAATTTTTTCTTCTTTTAGGCGAGTAGTGTTTTTGGTCATCTGTGGTAACTTTCAGAGGGTACCGATGGAGCTTCAGCGCCAGGGTCGCCCATACTTTTCCAGAACATCAATGCTTATAAACACAAGCTCTTTAGGAGTGATCGAACACGTAGAGTGCTCTGCATGTATAGTTAAGCATAAATTTTTTTTATTACACGATATTGACTTAAATTTAAATCATAAGAGTACTGTTTGAGAGTGACCTATAAGTTCGATCATTCCTAAAGTGCTTTTGTTTGTGCACATTGATGTTCTGAAGAAGTGTACGTGACCCTGGTGCTAAAACTCAATCGGTACCCTCTGAAAGTTACAAGAGGTGGCCAAAAACACTACTCGCGAGAAAACGCAAAAGAAGAACAATTTTAACAAGTAAAGTACAAGAAAAAGGCTCGCGGAAACAGCTGTAAGGTGTCTTTCCACCTTTAAACACAATGAGCATATTAACCCGACGAATAATATTTTGAAAGCATTAAAATATCTGGTACAAGTTACATTTTTCTTTTACAATATAGTTTATACGCATTACGGATTTAAATTTCATCACTTGCTCGAGAGAAAATCAATAAATTTTTCGATTATTTGAAGGGGTTTGTCAAAATAGTATTTAAATCAAATAAATTATTTGAACCGCGGCGAATACAATGGTCACTTGAACTAATAATCAAATCTCACGCCAACTTTAAACAAATGAAAAAAGAATCTCTTGGCTGAAGCATATTTCCACTCGTCTCTAAATGGCTTTTATCTTTTGCCCTCGCACGCTGCAGATAGATGTATATATATATACGCACGTCATTCATTATAAGGCGCGCGTGGGTGGGTACGGTAGGGAGAGCAAGAACGAGCGAATTCGCCTCGTTCTCTTTCTCCCTCGGACTTTCAGCTCTTTCTCCTTCAGGTGCGGCTCACTTACTCCACTTAAGCGCGCCGGTGGCAGCCAAGCAGCAGCACAAGAGCCCTCGTAATTTCTGGGCGCGTGCAAGCACGTCGCGCAACTGCCGCTGCACCTGTCGCACTATATACGTATATCTAAAGAAAGAGAGAGAAAGCTATGTGTGTGCGTGCGAGAAAGAGAGAAAGAGCAAGCTACGGACTACTTAAGGAAAACTTGAATACGATTGGCGGGCTTCTTATTATTTTATCTCTTAATGTCTTGTGCAGCAGCTACAGCCCGTTGCACTTTTGCGATTTTGAAACGTATTATAGATTTTATATTATCATATCGTGCATTTGCAAAATCAAACATATTATGAGACGAACGTTGAATGTTTTTTCGACGACCCCGTTTTTGATTCTTCACACAAAATTTCCTTACAATCAGGAATAAAAGTAATGATACTTTCAAGAAATTATATTTACTTCATACTTTTATGATTTAAAACATTTTGATCTGTATATTTTACAAATACAATTACGAACAATTTTTGCACAATTATTGATGGAAGATATATTATTAATATTTAGTTAATTTACCCGTGGACTTAGATACTCGGACATCGACAATCAACAATTGATTAGTCGATTTTTTGATTGCACGCTGCACCTCAAGGAATGATATGCGCGCGACTCAACAAGTGCAATTAAAGAATCAACTAATCGATTGTTGATTTTCGATGACCGAGTATCTAAGTCTGCGGGTGTACCTTTATGATGGAATTTCTTATGCATACTGCTGCCACACCGATTCAATCGGTTGCGAGCAGCGCATCGCTAGTGCAAGTAGAGCATCATATATCTCTCTGTCTATTCTCTCGCTCTCTCTCTTTCACTACGCAAACACAACAAAATGTCCACAAGACATTATCAAGTAATATATACCTATATACTCTGGGGCAAGAAGACAAAAATAAAGCGAAGGAGTGAGCATGAGGATGCGTGCGGGCATCAAACATAATTTAATTAAGTCCAATTTAATTTACTCAAGACTGGAGTTTCTTTCATTGTCTGTCTGTCTCTGTCTGTCTCTGTCTATCTTTCTCTAATATATATATGTGTGTATATTATATGAGACTACATTTGCGCCGTAACGAAACAATTACGGCCAGCTAACGTGGTCCTTGG